CATCATACAAGCTGCTTACCAAGGTGCTTGTATGCTGCTTCCAATTACGTGGACATAAATCATTCAGCAACATCATACAAGCTGCTTACCAAGGTGCTTGTATGCTGCTTCCAATTATGTGGACAAAAATCATTTACACCACATACACATATAATCCATTTTATTTAGCATGCATAATCACATACTTCCAATTAATTCATGCTTATCAACACATAAACACATAATGTACCTTAACCCAATATGTCTGAAAGCCTGGTTATCACAGAGATGAAAGTCAGATACTCGTTGAAACCTGTATTGACCATCATAGTCAAGGAACGTAATTTCACATGCACTGTGTTGGGTATATAAGGACCTCTTTCAGGCAGTGATAGATTCAATATTAAGATATCTGGCTTCTTTCTATCCTTGAAGAGTTCATTTACTCAGAATTTAGTTTCATGCTCATTTTGGTTGGATGGACCATCTTCAGGGTCAGAAAGGTTCTTTCTTCTAGAGAGCTTCTGTGGCAGAGGAGGAACCTCGACGATCTACGACACCTTGTTGAATAATTCGTTCAGAATTTCTTCAATGTAAGCCTTGTGCTTGGATTTGTACTTTCGGATAGCCTGTCGAATTTAGAGCCATTCATAAAAACCATACTGACTGAGGAAGGAGGAATATATATATATATATATATATATATGTATATATATATCTAGATATATCATGATTTACCCATTATAGAATCACTTGTATACATAATCTCATTAAGTAGGCAAAATCCCATTTTATCACAAATTCTCGAACATAAGAACATCATAACTTTGAGTTCCAAATTTCTCAATACTTTGAAATAAACATTCCCCAAGTATTTAAAACCATTCTCCACACTTGTTTCATCAAAATATGTAAAATCCCCAAATTCCCAAATTTGACCTAAATGGACCAAAATCAACCAAATGCAAAAATACTTGAAATGGAAACTTATAGGAAGTAAAAGACATCATTTTAACATGTATATGGTTTTATAAATGCAAAGAATGAACCCACAATACTAGGTTTTGATGAAAACCTAGGAAATCAAGAAATGATTGGAGATGGGGAAGAACACTTGATCTTTAGCCGAGATGAGGTTTAAATGATCTTGAATGGGTGGAATATGGAATAAATATTAAGGAAATCGCATTCAATGAGGAGGGCGGAAGAAATTTTGGAGAGAAAAGGGTTTGGTGAGAAAAATGAGAGTGAAAACCCAAAAATGGGCTCTTAAAACGCTGGCCAGTGGCAATTGCCTTGCAATTCAGATCTTCTGCTATCTTACTAATGAATAAAGGATTTTGTGGAGGATTTGCATATATGAATGCTAGTATTAGTCAAATATGCAGTTGAAGAAATAACATCTAAAAAATAATTGCAAGATTCACTGCTATTTGAATCTTCTGAGATGTCCGAGTCTTGCAATGTACATTGTATGCAATTGCCGAGCAATTCAGATCTTCTGTTAACTTACTAATGAATAAAGGATTTTGTGGAGGATATGCATATATATATATATATATATATATATCACAACATATTAGATAGGCAAACATTTGGGTTCATATTTACTGGTCCGATGCCTCCGGCTACAATATTGCACCATTGGAAATCTAGATAAAAAGATTCTGTAGAGGAGAATACTGTGAATAGTATATTTCTATTATGTGTAATGTGCAAGTCCTTAATCTAGGACAAAGTAGAGACAATTGAAGGTAAAACACCAAATTACGAACCAAGTTGCAATTGACAAAGGTAAATGAGGCCGATTGTTGCAGCGTAGGAAAATATGATTATCCTATAACTCCATGAGAGCATCAGCGACGTGATCCAGAAGCAGCAACTGCAGTCACATAACCCTAAAGAACTTTCCTAGATAGATGAATGGTCCCTAGCTGCAAGCTAGGTCAGAGAAGGCAGACAAAATTCAAAGTATTGCTCTGAAGGCTAGATTGTTCTGTTCAAGTTGAACTTCAGAGACACATTACCTGTCATAGGAGTTGTAGGTGCATCTACTAACACGATCACACCTTCTATAACAATCGACAGCAGTCTGCTTCTCTTGCTATTTTTGCAGATTCAGGCAATCTTCTAAGCTGTCATCTGTCTTCTACCATTTTCGTTTTCTTTCTTTCATGTTGATGTTTATAGGTTGCTGTTCTCTGAAATTTACCTCAAATTGAATCTATATGTGTGTTTTCTTTACTAATAAAATTGTGGTTCATCACAAATTCTTTGCATATTTCTTCAAATGAGGATAATTGCATAATTCAATTAATGCAGATCAGCAATACTTCTAGATGTTATTGCAGCAAGTGCTCTTGTAATATACTTGTCTCGTATAATTTTGGGATACAAACAGACGTGGGATAGGTATCAAGTAAGTTGAGAAACTGCTTACAACTTCTTCTGAAGTGCTTGCTTTATAAGTAGTATCTTGAATTTCTCAACCTCATTTTTTAAAGTTTTTTTCTAGCTTTTGGTTAATAGAACGCTCTATGAGAAGACTCTAGCCAGCGGTTTTGGATCCGTTCACTTTCTTTTGGATGCTTCTGAACAGCAGCAAGTAAGGGATTCACATACATTACTTCATTTCACAAGAAGAGCTATCCTCTGCATTTTAACATTTCATAGACTATCATCATTAAGTTCTAATTTGTATATATATTGCTTTTAGAAGTTGTGTTTGTAGTTAAAATAATGTTAGCTCCTTTTCTGGGATGGAGGGGGTTGTTGCATTAGGTCAATGGGTAAAGTGCGAAAATGATTTGAATATGAGATACACCAGTCAAATAAAATAACTTAATAGAACAAAGGCCAGGAAAAATTTCACTCAATCATACAAGGGCCAAAAAACATTTTTCCTTCATAGTCTAATACTTTCCTTTTGAATATTATGTGCAGTACAAGGAAGCTATTTTGGCTTATGCCATTTTACTCAAAGCTGGGAGTACCCAGGTACAACTTCTACCAAATATTATTCTATTCTATGACGATGCAATGTTGCTTAGATTTTATTTTTGGCACTAGAAGAACCTTACAAGGAATTCCAATAATACTTTTGGGTCAACAATACAGAGTGGTGAAAAAAAGGCTTAATATTTAGGAGCCATTTACCTAGCGCTTACTGGGTAGGCACTTACCTTATAGGGTAATATCAAAATGTATTGTTGGTAAGCATCTTTTGCCCGGTAAGCGCTTACAGGGTAGAGTCTTTTTCCTTACTTACCACGTAGGATTTTTGGTCCTTGTTGTGCCTCTTACCGGGTAAGATTCTCGGTCCTTGTCATGCTCATTCGGTAAAGTAAGTGAGAACTGGTAAGTGCTAACCTGGTAAGATTTTGGTAAACAACCCCAGTGTGTCTTGCCATTTGAGCATCCCAAACAGTTGTACCTCTGAAGACTCTTGATAAACCAAACCAAGCCAAATGTACCGGTTATTATCCCACCCGAAGGCTGGGTCCGGAGAGGGTATGATGTACAAATACCATATCTACCCCGGGGGGTAGAGAGACTATTTCCCATGAAGACGTCTAACGAGTGATTTTTTAGGACTCTTAATAAAGCATCCGAAACATTTCAACATATGGGACATCTACTGTGTTGCTGTCCTAAAACTCTTCTAAACATACTTATTCTACACGTGTTATTATTATTATTATCTTTTTTCACTTTTTCATTTCATGTCTGGATTAATTAAAGTTTCCATTTGCATGCAAAATGTTACTTTTCTTTGTACTTATCAAACCTAGAAATTAGTTTTGAAGAGTGTTAGAATATATTGTAAATATTATGTCTGTTTAGGGTTTCTGTTGGGCCGTACGGGCCTTTGCTTATTTGGGTTTGGGTTTCTTATTTGTGTCTATATATATACACGCCTCTCCTTTGTAATTATTCATTCAGTAAATAAGAATACTTCTTCTCTCTGTCCCTCTGATCACAAAGAGCATCTCTAACAGATTCTCTAAAATAGAGAAAATTGAGCTTTTTATAAATTTAGAGAAATTTTGTTGCATCTATTTTATTGATAATGAACAGGTTTATATACAAACTAGAAGGCCTAAAATACATTCCCTAATTTTACGGTTTACAGACCAGAAAGGGAACTTTCTGACAATAGAGAATCAAAAAGATCTGCTATAATCAAATCCCGTGAAATCAGAGATTATGATTCTGTATCAGATGGTAAGTTTCTGCCAACACTCCCCCTCAAGCTTGGGGTGAAAATGTCTTTCATCCCGAGCTTGTTCAATATTTCTTGAAGTGAGTACCAGATAATCCTTTGGTAAGAACACAGCCAGTTGCTCTTTTGATGGAACATATGGCATACATAACAAGCCACTCTCAAGTTTCTTCTTTATAAAATGATATCTATCTCCACATGTTTTGGGAGGAGCCATGGTGGTCCCCCCGGACCGCCCGGATCCCACGAGTGAATCGAAAGTTGGATCTACATTGGATCTCACCTGAATCGCTCCATTCCAATTATTGTGAAGAGACATCTACAATCGTTAGTCTTGGGGAGAATTCATCCTGGAAGTGGGAGAACTGCTGAAACATGCGGTCTTGTTGGACTGGGTTATGGGCTATGTTAATGGCTGATTTGTATCACAGTACAACTTCATGGTTCTTTTCCAATCAATTCCCAAGTAACCAAGGACAATGTTTACCTATAAAAGTTCACGTATTCCTAACGCCATAGCACGAAGTTCAGCTTCAACACTTGACCTTGCTACTACCAGCTGTTTTTTGCTACATGAGGTTGACCGCCTGTCCAATGCCGAGCCTGCCCAATTTGCGTCAGTGTAACCCTCAAGGCTAAGTGTCGCACCTTTGTTGTAGAGAATCCCTTTTCCGGGGTACCTTTCAAGTATCTTAATATTTTGTAAACAGCCTTTAAGTGCTCCTCCCTGCATAAGCTATATCCGAGTGAGTGTGTAGTAAGTAGATTAATCTGCCTACCAACCTTTGATATCTCACCCTGTCCACCCACGGGCATATCTTCTGGCTTTTCACCAAGCTTGTTACCTTGTTCCTTTGGCGTGTCTGATGGTTTACAGCCAAGCATCCTGTTTCCTTTATTAGATCCAGAATATACTTCTGCTGGGAAGAACTATGCCTTCTTTGGAGTATGCTACTTTGATACCAAGAAAAGACTTGAGTTTTCCTAGCTATTTTATTTCAAATTCTGCTGCCAATGAGCCATCCAATCTCACAAAGATCATTCCCAGTGACAATAATATCATCAACATACACTATCAAGGTTGTTACCTTATCCCCTCAAGTAGGTGGCATTTTTTTCTTTCTGCTACACCGTTTTGTTTGGGTGAGCATCTGGACAGGTGGATTGGTGTATGATGCCTTTGCTTTGAAGGATAGGAGATAGGATTTGGTTAAAGTATTCTTTTCCATTGTCTGATCTGATGACTTTGACTGTGGTTTTGAATTGGTTTTGGATCAGGCTTAGAAAATGCGGGACAATTGTACTCGCATCAGATTTGTTTTTCATCAAGAATAACCATGCAACTCATGTACAATCATCAATAAATGTGACAAAGGCTTGCAATTTTAGATGGGCCCCAAACATCATTATGAACAATAGTGAAAGGAAATATTGTTTTATGATTGACGAGCTGAAATGACGCTCTTTGATGTTTAGCATACTGACATGATTCACTTCGAAAAAGAGAGGTATTTATTTTCTTAAACAAATGAGGAAACATGTTTCTAAGAGTATGAAAAGAAGGATGTCCTAATCTAAAGTGATGAAGCTACATCTGAACTTCATTAGATGATGATGATTCTGAAACAAGGGACATAAGTTTTCTGGCTGGTTTGCAGTATCCAAGTAATACAAACATCCTTCTCCTCAGCAAACTCAATCGTCCTCCCCGTAGTTGGGACCTGAAAGATGCACGTTATGACACCCCAAATCTAAAATGGGTGCCATTACGTCCTTTACACAAGTCTTATGAGAGAAAATAAATTTTAACTTTATTTCTTTCATATCTTAATATTACATCAAAGTTAAAACATAAGTGGAAAACTTCATAAGCGGAAAATGCGTAAAATATTATCTCAACGGCTTATAGTACATCAGAATTTTGTTAAAATAGTAACTACTTCTTTCTTGAGACATACATGGAATACATAAGCTTTAAGCTTAGTGAGTAGTTATGGTTTCATGAGTAAATAATTTTTATAATACTTGAATAATGATTCAAGAAAACACTTGTCATGAAACATTCTTTTGAGATCTCACTTGTCACATGTGAGTATATCATACTTGACTTGAGGTTTGCTAACCCAAGGGTCCATAAAGGCTGCCCCATAAAGTTCGTTTGTAAGATGTCACTTCATTCTATATCCCGTGCGTTGGATATTTATGATCATATATAACATGCATAAAACTTTCACCCTTATGTGTAAAACACATCATAACATGCCATCATACATATATCTTGGCTATATAAATGTATCATCATTTCGTGTAAAGCAAATATTAAAAATCATCATATCAATTTCTTCATAATGCATAAAATACATTTATATAGCATATATGTATCTTAGTAAATCTCATAACATACTCACCTAGATTATGCCTAGCCTGCCTTTAATCTCTTACTTTCAAGCTTAGTAGTGTATTAACAGAGAGAGAGCGTGATTTTGGTATCTCAATAAACAGTTCAGCATCAAAGACTTAGGACTTCTGAAGTATTTTCTAGGTATCGAAGTGGCTCGAATCTCTGATGGCCTTGTTTTAAGTCAAAGGAAGTACACCCTGGACATACTAGAAGACAGCGGGTTCCAAGGGTGCAGACCAAGTTCCTTTCCCATGGAACAAAATTTAAAACTGGACCAATGCGATGATAGCCCACGAATTGAAGGAGGACAATATCGACGTTTGGTAGGAAGGTTGTTGTACCTTCAAGCCACTAGACCGGATACAGCTTACGCAGTCAACATGCTTAGCCAATTCGTTTCAGATCCCCGACAACGACACATGGAAGCTGCCGTAAGGGTCCTTCATTACCTCAAGGCATCTCCAGGCCAAGGCATCCTCATACCAAAAGAAGGGGGGCTGAATTTAGTTGGCTATTGCGACTCAGACTGGCTTGGATGTGCCTACACTAGACGGTCACAAACCGGATATTTGCTCCTACTGGGAGGGGCGCCAATTTCTTGGAAGACGAAGAAACAAACGGTTGTATCACGCTCTTCAGCTAAAGCAGAATATCGAGCGATGGCAACTACGGTTAGCGAAATCTTGTGGGTACGTTGGCTGCTGAAGACACTACAGGTAGATCAAAATGAACCAACGCCCCTCTTTTGTGACAATCAGTCAGCTAGAAACATCGCCAACAATCCCGTCTTCCACGAGCGAACCAAACATGTTGAAATGGATTGTTTCTTTGTCCGTGAACGTGTTGAGTCTAAAGAGATACCGCCCCTATACGTTGATACAAAGCTACAAGTCGCATCTTCACTAAAGCATTAGGAACACAACAACTTCGAAGTTTACTTGACAAGTTGGGCATTCGGGATCTACATGCTTCAACTTGAGGGGGAGTAAAGGAAACCGTTCAATCACCGCTCAATCAATTATTTCTTCCCTCTTTTATGTTATTTGTTCCCTTTTATATGTTGATCTTTCCCTTATTTAGATAGCTTTGTTGTGCACCTCCGATATATATATGTCGGTTTTGTCATTGGAATAAACACGGTTAAAACACTAAATTCTATACTCCTTGACATGACCTGGTTTCTTGCAATAGTTGCAAAACAAATAATTGCTTCGAGCTGTCTCGCGATTGTTTTTGTCTTGACTGGCGAGAGGCTTTGCCGTTCCCATATCTGTTTGTAGATACTAGGGCAGATCCTTCGGTTTTGGAGGTCTCAGTTAACAAGGCAGTTTCTTCTTGTTTAACAGTTGGCGCTTCTATCATGACCGATATCATGCCTTCTTCTCCTCTAATTATGGCAAAACTTCATTGAGGGACGACAATTCTTCCTTTCCAAGGACTTGGACTCGAACTTGATCAAATTGCATGTTCAATCATGCTAAGAACTCATATATTCTCTCTCCTTCGATGAACTTATACAGCAAGGCAGCATCCTCACTGTTTTTCATCTGAATACTGGTAGCAATAAGTTCGAGCCATAATAGTCAGTGACAGATGTGGTACCTTGTTTGGCTGAATGAATTTTGGTTTTTATTTCAAAAACCAATGCAACATCCTTCACTTTAGAATAGATCTGCTTCACCGTTTCCCATATCTCCTTTGCAGATGTTAAAAACATGCAGGTTCCACTCACCTCTGGATGCATCGAGTCCCACAACCATGACATAATCAGTGAATCTTGAGTATCCCACTCTCCATATTTGGGATCTTCTCTTTTTATGCATGTTCAAGAAGATGATGAAGTTTGCCTTTTCCTTTGAGTTTTCTGCGAACTACCTGGACCAGATCATGTAGTTCCTTCCGTTGTCAATAAGCAGCTTGAATATTCCCGAGTTCATTCGAATGTGCTCCAACAACAGCTTCTGTCGGTCTGGTAACATTCGAGGATTCAGATGATGTCAGCATGGATAGGTTTGGTTGCTTTCGAGGGAAAACAGACAATAGGACTAAAAACTTTGACAAAATAGTTTCAGCAATAAAACTGAAGAAAAGAACAGGGTAAAATCCGAGCTCTGGTACCATATAGATTTAGAGAAAATATGTTGTGTATATTTTATTGATGATGAACAGGTTTATATACAGACTAGAAGGCCTAAATTACATTTCCTAACTAAAAGGATTTACAAACCAAGAAAATAAAAAAGATCGGCCATAATCAAATCCCTTGAAATGAGAGATTATGATTCTGTATCAGATGGTAAGTTTCTGCCATCAGCTTTGTTCTCTATTTTGCTCAAACATATTCTGTATATTGTTTTCTATTAGAGAAAAGAGAATTTCCTAAAACTTGATGGGTGTGGTGAGAGATGATTTTTTTTCCATTCTCACTGATGAGATTAAACTATTATTATTTTATATAATATTTTGAAGAGTGCATTGGGATTATAAACTATAGAATAATCTAATAATGTGATTAATATTGGAATCTCTAAAATAGAGAATCTATTGGAGTTGAATGTAATTCTGTTTAGAGATTTTGACTTTTGGTTCTTTGTTTTAGAGAAATTATGGAGATGCTCTAACCAACCAACTATGCTTATTATAATTTTGACTTTTAGTGAATGAAGTATAGACGTTATGGGATGCTGTCCAAATGTCCTTGCCAAATAATTTACTTGATGTCTTTGAGCCTCTTCCAGAAAGGAACCATGGCACCAGTAAAATAGACATAAAAGCTTAGAGAAGTAGGAGCTTTAGTTACTTTCTCTATCACTTTTTGTAAATCTGATTAAGAGTTGTGTTATCTCCAGGACGAAGTTCAATCCACCCCACCCATTTACTTGTGGGTGTTTCCTTGAATTAATATCATTGCTTGAGGCATTGGTAAAACAATATTAGAAGGAATTAATGGGTTTTAAAATGTTCTATCCGCAGGTCACTTATGCAGACAGTGCTCAAGACCAGTGTGAAAGATTTATATATAATGCGTTCAAAAAAAAGGTAACATAGCCAGAGTAGTTGTTTGTACAAATACACTTTGGGTGTTCAAAATACCGCACAACCCACATAAACCACACAAAACCGTGTGGTTTAGAACCTCCGCGATCAGTGGCGGATTCGTTCATACTTAGTAGGGGTCCTAGACCCTGAACGAAACGCTTCAAAATTTTCAAAAAAGCTATCAAAAAGTCTTTTTTTAGTAAAAGTTTTGTTGGGCCCCCAACAAGAAGGCGGCAAGGGCCAAACCTGAAATCGGTTTTGAAATTGATTTTTAAATTGGTATGTAAGTTCTTCTCCATCTTGGTTCTTGGCTTTTCAGTGAAACACTTCTTGCTTTTAAGTAATGTTAAGTGAAAAACAAACCGAATAAGTTATATTTATTCAGTTAACCGAACCATTTAAGCCGAAAATAATTAACCCGAAACCGTTTTTGTTCAGATGAATTATTCGGTTTCGAAAGTTTTTTGACACCCTATAATGTGCCCCAACCAAAAATGTTTCTGGATCTGATACCGGTATACGATTTGCGGTTTTGAATATTTTTATATTGCACTATTGCAATTTTCTATTACTCAACCGCATATTATTTTTTTCTATTAATTAATCTTTATATAAACTGTGTTACATTTTTTATTAATTAAAATTATTTATTAAGAATACTTAAACTACTAATAAGGCTATGATGTCAAACAGATTACCTTAACTCCAAAATTGTTATAGTGATACACCTATATAATGTCAGCTTTACATTTTCAAAGAAGGAAAGAAATTCTGATCAAATTTTCCAACTGAATTGAACAATTCAATCCAATGTTCGTAGTTTGAAAGATCTCAACCCAAACCATGTGGGTTTGGTTGATCGGGTTGATTGATACATCAGTTTATAATCTAGTTAAGTGATTGTGTTTAAACAAAGTAAAATCAAAATGAGAACATACGAACAAGGCTAACAAACTCAAAGAAGAAAGTTGAAGGTTCAGGCAAATATGAAAGCAAAATAACGGTTTGAAATTATGAATAGAGCTAATTATGGGTTGGTCTATACATATATTAGTTAAAGAACATGATGATCATATTAAATACATGGTATAGGAAGACATCGGGTTGGATTCAAATTGCTTGTTGTAACCCAATACCTACGGTTTGATTGTAACAATGAAGGCATACTTCTTTTGTTTGGGAACATGAGATGTGCTTTTTTTCTTTGGAACAGAGAGAGCAAGCTTTTTGATCGCGTGTATTTTGTAGGTTGAAATGCCAATCGACAAAGCTGTAAATACATTGATGAGGTTGGATCTTGTTATCGAAAAAGAAGTTGGTGGAAGAGTTGGATTACTACCAATTCCTTGTGTTGAGGCCTACACGGTCCTTAAACAACGTTGGAACAGTTTTGTAAGTTAAGTTTGTTCATTCTTGGGTTAAACATAACAAGTATATGAATTGACATTTTTCAAGGAGTTGATGCAAACATCATTCAAGATGGTTCAAACACCCTTTGAATGCATTCGCTTCGAACGTAATGAAGAGACAGAGTTCAGTTGGTGCAACATATGAACGGATGGAGCAGTTGTTCATGTCTTAAGCCTTCACTACAACAAAATTGGTTTATAGGATGCCTAAAATGTCTAAGTGTCCTTATAAGATATTTTATAGGACTCATGTTTATAGGAACAAATATAAAATGTACTATATAAAGTGTTATAATAAGTTTATAGGATGCTTTCGTGCGTTTCAACAAATTTTTTTAAATGCTCTAAAAATAAAGTGCCATGTTAGCTAAATTTTTTTTGTAAGGGTGTCCGGGCCAAAGCCCGACTAATCCCCGGCAAATTTGGAGGCTAAACATGGCCCTACTTAAATGTCGTCAACACTCCCCTCCCAGGGCTCGAACTCGGGTTCATGACTATGCCATGCCCAAGCCTTTACCACTAGGCTGGAAGGTCTTTGACCATGTTAGCTAATTTACAGGACACATGAGAAAATGTTCTATAAACCCATCTTTTTATAGGACATTTTTTCAAATAGTGTCGTATAATATAACTAATATCGACACTTCCTTTTTTTTAAAGGCGTTCTAAAAAACTTGTTAAGACGTCCAAAAACGTCGTATATAAACATATTTTAGAACTTTTAGATGGGATGTTTTTTTGTTTGATCCTATAAACTTAAGTCATAAAGTATCCTATAGGACATTTTAGGTGTCGGTAGTTCACCTTTTGATCATTCATATTAGGATCCATGTATCTTGTTTCTACCGGTTTGAGATCAAACATTTTTCACCCCTTGGTAGAAATCAAACCAAATGGATCCAGTGAGATCTGGGATGCAGACTTTCATCTACCACAAAGGGGAAATATTTGTTTTGTTATGCTATGTGATTTTATATTACATGATTGCTGAGTAGGAAAGGCATACGATTCTCATCTATAGCTTATCCTTATCTTAATATAATGGTCAATGTAATGGCACTGTTTGTTTGTGTATATATATTTGTTTGTAGAGCAAAACGTTACTTTTTGTTAACTTCATAGTGCCATAGGATTATTCGAGCGCACAAATTGGACCCATATATTGACAGATATATAGGCAGGATAACCTAAATTTTGATTAGGAACCCAGGAACCATTAACAACTTGTCATCAAGAACGTGGAAGTATTATTTATCATGTGTGATTCATGATGAATATTGATTGCATTGTGAGCAGTTCCTGGGTTCCTAATCTATTTCATGTTCTTTAAGGTAGTTTTTGGTACGCAGACATAATTGGACAGGACATGATATGACAGGACAAAACTGGACTGGACGGGACATGACTGAACATAACATGAGTATGTCTGGTGTTTGGTACGACTAGTACTGGACGGGACAGAACTAGACAAGTTATTCCCAAAAGTTATTTGATGATTTTAAATATTATATAATAGTTATAATTAACACAAATAAAATAAATAATTAAAGAATAAATATTTGTACATGATTTTCATATGTGTCAAATTTGAATGAAAAATTTAATATAATTGATGGTAGTAATGGTGGTGATGGAAGTGGTTTTGGTTATGGTGGAGGTGGTGGTGGCCGACGGTAGTAATGGCAATGGGCGGTGGTGATCGGTGGCCGACAATGGTTATGGAGGTAGAGGCAGTGGACGATGGTGGTTATAGAAGACATGAAGATGGTAGATTGTGGTGGTGGTGGCGGTTGACAACGGTGGAGGAGGTAGTTGTGGTTGATGTAGTGAAGATAGTGGTGGTGGTGGTTATGGTGGAGGTGATGTGGCAATGAATGGTGGTGGCTGATGGGAGTCGTGTAGGTCGTGGAGGAGGTTGTTGCAGTAGAGGAGAAGTTGAAGATGGCAAACGACGGTAGTGGTGGTGGCAATGGACTGTGGTGGTTGGTGGTCGAATATGGTAGAGGTGGCAATGAACTTGATGGACGGTGGTTGTGGAGGCGGTGAAAGATGTTGTAGTGGAAGAGGAGGTGGAGGTGGAGATGGTCGTCGGTGACCGTCGGTAGTGGTGGCGGCGGCCGAAACTAGCGGTGATAACCATTAAAACAAATATCATATTAAGATCATATATCAAACTAGGGTAGATTAGTAATATTTTAGTTTCTGTTCCATTCTTGTCCCATCTTGTTCCACCTAATTTGATGGAATAAGAAAAAATCTCTTTTGTCCCATGTTGTCCCACCTTGTCCCAGTTTTTGTCCCGTCCCATGTCGCGCCAAACGTGGGACAGTGAGTTATTGTTCTGTCCCATGCTGCGCCAAACATGGGACAGTGGGTTTTGTCTCGTCTTGTCCTGTCTCGTCCCATGTACCAAACGCATCCTAACTAAACTTTCCTCCTCCCCCCCCCACACACGCATATATATATATATATATACACATACACACACACATATATATATATATACACACATTTATATACAGGGCAGGGGAGGGGAGGGGAGGGGAGGGATAAAATGCCAACAAAGCTATTGCCTATTAGTACAAATCGTGAAAACCATCGATTTCATTGTTTAGTCTAAGTTAAAAAAAAACTTCATGAAATTGTTTAATATGGTGAAATTGCTTCAAATAATTCATTTTATGATGAAAATGTTTCATATATTTTCGTTTATATGTAAAAGTTAGATTGTTTCATGTATTTCTCATAATGATGAAATTTTGTTTACTAAATTTTATAGAATGAAGATGATAAGGTCCATAATTATTTGAAATGAATTATATGAAACAATTTCATCATATAAACAATTTCATGAAAAAAATTTACTAGGATAAAAAATGAAGTCGACGGTTTTCACGGTTTGTATAAATGACTTGATTTGCAAAATATTTTTTCCATATATATATATATGGAATATATATATATATATATGAGATTTACTTTTGCTTGTCGGTTCATTCAACCTTAGCTTTCAACACAAAAATAGAACTCGGCGCAAGTATACACCTTGAACTACTGTCGTCTTGTAACAAATAATAATGGTATAAGTACCAGATATCGTTCCCACAGAGATATTGTAAAGTTATTTCAAAAGTCCAGCTTATAAAAACTAGTTTCAGATGACGAATCGAGGGATTTGATTTATCTAAAATTGGGAGGTTTGATTAACAACTAAGAAAAATATCAGTCTTAAGAAGAAGCACATGTTG